AGGAAAATCAGTTTTCCAAAAAATATTTCAGAAACACAGTTTAGTATATTAAAATAATGTTTAATAAGATAAGGAAAGCTTCCTAATATTTGCCTGTATTCTTAAGGTTAAAACTGATTAGAGAGCCATATATCTGTATGTCATAGTATTAGTTGAAATCTTTAAAAAATATGACAGAATGAGCTATAGAAAAAATACCTTGATGTCTATTGATTGTTGGTCTCCCTGAAGTGACTATGCAAAATCTGTGTCATTTCTGACATTTTCTCCTTTTTCAGACCTTAGAGTTTGTGGATCCTTTTCGTCCTTATCAATCCATTGACACTCTGAAACAGTTCCTCCAGTATGATAGGAAGGTTCTGCGTTTCTTCTGCCTGTGGGATGATTCAACCTCACTATTTGGGGACCGTAGAGAATTTATCTTGTATTACTTCTTGTCAGATGATACTATTGAAATCAGAGAAGTATTGCCAAATAACTCGGGCCGGGAGACTATGTCATCATTCCTTCAGAGAAGTAAGATACCCAAGGTAAATAGTGGACATAGAACCCTTTTTGAGTTGTGCTATGGGCCAAGAGACTTGAACTGTAGTTTGGAATGTTTGTATTATGACTCTGTGATAACAATGACCGCATATTTATTAAAGCAAGTATTTTGGAAACTGATTTTATGCCCTCTGTTAATATACATCTGTAAAACAAATCCAGAGACTCTGAGAAGTTAGAACATTCTAGACTTATGGCAAGTAAAGGAAAGGAACTGTCTGTAAGGAAAGTACCTATGTATAGTTGAATTTGCTATCAACAATTAGTGTTATGAAAAAAGGGACTCTCTTGAAATTGATTGACTGTGGCTTTGAATGGGACACTGGCATGTGACTTCTGTACCCTGTCAAGGACACCGTCCAATACTGGTCAACACACACACACACACACACACACACACACACACACACACACACCTGCAGCCACATGTTATGTATACATGTGCACACAAACGCACACACATATAAATGCAAAGGAGCCACTCACAATTCTACGTGTACTGACTAGTCACCAGGTGACCACCAGGTAGTGTCATTGATAGTATTGGCATTTTATTTACTATGAAAAGGAGCTGTCAGACTTGTAGAAATGCTTGTGATAATTTGAGAGCTAATGTAACTTGTGCATAACAGGAATGGTATAGAGGCTGATCTGGACTCAAATTGTGGATTTGTCTCTTTAATAGCCATGTGAACATGAGAAAACCACCTAACCTCTTTGAGATTATTTCTCTATCTTTATTTATTTTTGGTTTTAGCCTTTAGATTTATTTATTTATGTATTTATGTTCACTTATTTATTTATTTTTGAGACAGGATCTCTCTGTAGTCACAGCTGGTCTAGAACACACCATATGGACCAGTCTAGTCTCTGATCTCACAGAGATCCACCTGCCTCTGCCTCCCCAGTGCTGGGATTAAAGGCTTGTACCACCACACCTCGATGTTTCTCCATCTTTAAAATGCAGTTAACAGGGGCTGGAGAGATGGCTTAGTGGTTAAGGGCACTAGGTGTTCTTGCAGACAACCCAGGTTCAATTCCCAGCACCCACATGGCAGCTAACAACCATCCATAACTCTAGTTCCAGGGGAATCTGACACCCTTTTCTGACCTCCGCAGGCGTTGCATGACATGAGTACACTTGCATACATGCAGACAATGCATTTATACACATAAAATAAAAAAACAGTAAAATTAAATATAAATAAAATGCAATTAATGGAGCTCCCCTTCTATAACTGTAAAGATTAAATGAGATGATATAGTAAGAGCCACTATCTGAGGACCTATTTATTAGCACCTATCAGGTCACCTAGAAACGAAAAGGGTTTTTTGAACAGTTCTATGTTGTATTGTATTTCTAATTTGGACAAAGTAATTTTAAACTTCATTCTTATTGTTTTTGAAAAGGTTACCAGGGGCACTCATTTCCTATGCAAGCGACCGCTGGCCATTCAGTCCTCACAGGAGGCTCTCCCAGAGTCTCTGTGCCCACTTCCAGATGTCATGCTGTGTTGCTTGAAAGCAGGGGGAGGTAGAATTTGTTCCTAAGGGAGCTCTGGAATATGCATAGCTGGTGGCCAGGAGGTGCCCGAGAAATCTCTTTTTAGAATGTCTTTGAAAAATAGGTTAAATATGAAATAATGATGCACCTGACATTTGCAGTGTGTCTTGCCATCAATAGCTTCATTTTATTCATTTATTCAACAAATATTTATTGTATGCTATATGCCATTTCTTGGGTTTCAATGAGAAAGAAAATGAATTAAGTCCTACTTCATGGAGTTTAGGTTCTGTGGGGAGAGTCCAGAGGGAATAGGTGATTCTTAGACACTCAAAGCAAAGAGTAAGTAATGTTGTTGAGGCCAGAAAGTTGAAGAAAGCTCTGAGAACAGTCCAGTCAGCTAGCCTGTACTCCCGAGCATAGGATCAGGCAGCATGTTAGCTGGAACAAAGAAAAGGCAAGGAGGCAGCAATTTTTCTTTGGGGAGGTTTTCAGTTCAGAAAATAGAAAAGATGACTGCTTGCACAACAATGGAGAGTAATATAGAAAGTGCTGGATTCCATGGTAAGGGCTATTTAAGGTCTTGATAGAGACAGGCAACAGATTGAATAGTTCTTTATTTTTAATGTTTTTTTTTTTTTTTTTTACAATACATATTTTTAATTGAATTTTTGTGCATTTCATATAATACATCTTAATCATCTTTAGATTCCCCTCCCCTATCTGCACCTGCCCCATAGCTCCCCCACCCCAGGATTTCATACTGACTGCTTGTATTAGTTTCTTTTCTCTTGCTGTGATAAAAGACTGACCAAAGCAACTTACAGAAGAAGAGTTTATTTGGTCTATGATTCCAAAGGGTTAGAGTCCGTAGTGGTGGGGGAAGCATAACCAGAGCAGAAAGCCAAGCGATCATGTCGTCAAGCAGGCACAAAAACCAGAGAGAGATTGAAAGACTCTTAATACCCAGCCCCAGTGATGTCCTTCCTTCCTTTGGCATGGTCACACCTCCTAAAGCTTCCCAATAGCACCACCAAATAGAGAAAAACTGTTCAAATACTTGGAGCCCATGGGGGACATTCTCATTCAAACCACATTCCACCCCCTGACTCATGATCATATAAAATGTAAAATACATTTAGTCCACTTTTGAAAGTCCCCATAGTCTTTATCAGTTTCAATACTATTCAGAAGCCCAGTGTTCCAAGTCTCTTCTGAGACTCAAGACAATCTCTTGACTGTAAGCCCCTGTAAAATCAAAAGACAAATTATACACTTCCAAAATATAATGGGACAGAATACACATTCCTATTCTCAAAGGGAGGAGGAATGGGGGCATAATGAGGAAATACTGAACCAAAACAAGACCCAAAACAAGCAGGCAAACACCAAATCTAGTATCTCCATGTCCTGTTTATAGGACTTTACTTCCAAAGGGCTTAGGTGGCTCAGCCCCTCCAGCTTTTCTGAATGCACTGTACATCTCTCTCTTAGAGTGGCACCACTCTTTGTATACAGCTCTCCTTGGCAGATGTCTCATGGCTCTATTATTTTTAATATCTTCTTGGGGTCTCTACTGCCAACCAGGCTTCACAGTCATAGCTTCACACAATGGCCTGTCACAGCCTCTTGGCCTGTGAGGGCCTTCTTTATGCAGGGACTCTGATGTTACATGTTGTCTGGCCTCTGTACCTCACTGAAACCATAGAGGAAGAAATGATGACCCATTCACTCTTGCATATTTTTTTGGCCCTAAAGTCAGTACCATGTGAATGACACTGCCAAGTTTGGTTGCTAGTTTGCGATGAACCCTGGCTGCTTCATAAACAGCTTTTGTGGGTTGTAGTTTTCTAGAAGAAAACTCCTTAGGTGTTTTCCTTTCACAAGTTGGAGCCTTAGCTGGGTATGGTTTTGCACTAAGGGTGCTCTTTCCAGTGTTTCAATGAAAATCTTGATGCCTCTCCTTAAAAGCTTTAGTCTCCTTATCAAAGAGAGCCTCTCCAGCACATAGCTTGGCTCCAACATTAAACTTCATAGTGCTCTTTTCCTCTATAAACTGTATATTCTGCATTTCTTTCTGCCTCATTTGTTCTTTTTCATTGTAGATCTCCATAGTATTGACCATTAATAACCACTCCACTGATTCTATGTTAGGCTGTCTTGAAATTTCCTAGCCAAAGAAATTAGTCCATTGCTTTTCAACTCAGAGTCAAGCAAGATCTTAGGCTGAGGGAATACAGTAGACAGATCCTTTGCCAAAACATCCCAGTTACTATTTAAGTCCTTATTTCCCTCTGGAACTACTTTTCTCTCAGCACCACTTTCTTCCAGGCTCCTACTAGAATGACCTATTAAGCTCTGCTCACAGCATTCAATCACTTTTCTCTTCCAGACTTCCAAAGTCTTCCACATTCCCCCCAAACCTCACATGGTCATGTTCTTCACAACACCCCACTCTTGCTACCAACTTCTTTTTTAGTTACTTTTCTGTTGCTGTGATAAAACACTGACCAAAGCAACTTACATAAGGAAGAAGAATTTATTTGGCTTATGATTCCAGAGGGTTAGAGTCTATTAATGGTGGGGAAGGCATGGTGGCAGAGGTGGCCAGACAGAAAGCCAAGCAATCACATCTTCAAGCAGGCAAAGGAGAGCGAGAGCGAGAGCGAGAGCGAGAGCGAGAGAGAGAGAGAGAGAGAGAGAGAGAGAGAGAATGAATCTGGCAAGACATAAGAATTCTGAAGGCCTGCTCCCAGTGATATGCTTCTGGCATGGCAACACCTCCTAAAGGCAAAACAGCACCACCAACTGGAGACAAACTGTCCAAATACTTGGAACCTATGGGGGACATTCTCATTCCAACCACCTCACTGCTCCAGCAGATTGAACAGTTCTAATGTATCTGTTGGTTTAGTGGGGAACCAAGTAGATGGTTACCTGTAAGATGGAAGGCTGGGTGTGGTGGCACAGGCCTGTAATCACAGAAGTTTGGGAGGTGCTAATTTCTTTGGCTAGGAAATTTCAAGACAGCCTAACATAGAATCAGTGGTGTGGTTATTAATAGTGACTATTATGGAGATCTACAATGAAAAAGAACAAATGAGACAGAAATGCAGAATGTACAGTTTGGGAGGAAGATCAAGAGTTCAAGATTATCCTCAGCTATATAGTAAGTCTGAGATCAGTCTGTACTGACATGTCAACCTGTCCTCTGCTCCCAAAAAAGCCACAAAAAAGGTAAAAACATGTAGGATAGCAGGGTTAGAGGTAAGATGGATTTTTATCTGGCCTGTGAAAGGTATATGGAATGTAAGCCAACCCATAAGATGGAGCAGCAGAGGAAGAGGTAGAGGATGTGGTTTCCTGTGGATGGTAGAAAAGACCCCTGTGATGCATATTTCTGGCATGTATCCTCTGACTGGATCACCACTGTGCTTAGAGACATCTACCATGCCTTGTTGTGGTTTTATCTTACAGCATGGCCCACCTGGAGTCTATCAACCAGGCCAGATAACAGATCGAGCTGTTCTCAATATATATGGTGGCTTATCAGAGTGGCGAGCAAATGGCTATCTGTTGGATAAATACCAGGTGAGGACCATCATGTTTTATTACTGCTTACAATGTAACTTCCAGAAACCTGAACACTGGAGTAAACTTCATATTCTTCTTTGTGATATAAAGAATGAAATCAAGAAATACATAAATATGTGCATTCTGTTGCATTTACAAATAATAACCATATTTAACTATATAGAAAAAATGCATTGCATTGCTATGTGCAAGCGCTACAGTATTAAAATAACGGTTAGATAGGCTGAGGAGGTGGCTAAGTGCGTAACATGCTTTCCACACAAGTGTGAAGATCTGAGTTTGACTCTCTAGAACCCACATAAATCCAGACATGGTAGCATGCATCTGTAATCTCAGTGCTTCTGTGGCGAGATGGCAAGGAGAGGCAGAAGAATCCCCAGCAACTCATAGGCCATTGTCCTAGTTAGCTTTATCTTGATGTGATAAAAATATGACAAAAAAACAACTCTTGGAAGAGTTTATTTCTTTTTACAGGTTACAGTCCATCATGGAGGGAAGCCAGGGCAGGAGCTCAAGCAGAAACCTAGAGGCAGGAACTGAAGCGGAGACCATGAAGGAACACTGCTTGTTGACTTGCTCCCAGACTCACCTTCATCTGCTGTGCTGATTAGTATTAGTCAACTTAACACAAACTAGAGTCACCTGACAAGAGGGAATGCAAACTGAAGCATTACCAAGATCATAGTGGCCTGTGGCCATGCCTGTGAGGCATTTTTTAAATTGCTAGTTGATGTGTGAGGGCATAGCTGACTGTACATAGTACCATCCCAAGGGCAGGTTGGTAAGAAACTGTTTAAGAAAGGTAGCAAGCAAGCCAATAATGAGTGTTCTTCCCTCGTCTCTGCTTCAGGTTCTGCTTCCAAAGCTCCTGCCTTGAGTTCCTGCATTAGCTTCCGAGTTAGCCAAATAAACCTTTTCCTCTCCCAAGTTGGTTTTGGTCACTGTTTTATCACAACAAAAAACAAACTAGAACAACTACCTTTCTTATACAGCCTAAGCCCATTTGTCTAGGGTTGACACTGCCCACAGTGCACTGGGTCCCCCTACATCAATTAGCAGTTAAGAAAATGCTCCACAGACATGCTCACAGGGCAATCTGATGGAGGAAATTCCTCGATTGGTGTATCAAATTGACCAAAGCATGGTTAGCCATCGAAGCCACCTAGTCTAGTGTTCACAGTGGCTAATGACAAAGAAACCCCGTCTCAGACAAGGTGGAAGGCAAGAACCAGTACACAAGGTTGCCATCTGATTGCCATACCCATGCCATGGCATGGTTGCATCCACCTTCACATGAATCACATATATGAGCATATACGTGCAAATACACATACACAAAAAAGAAAAAATAATAATGCTTGGAGTTGATTTTATTTTAAAATTTAGTTATAAATCCTATAGGTAAAGATTTTTAAACATTTCTTTTTTCCTTGGGAAATGACACCTAGTTCTCTGGACAATCCATGGTGCCAATGCTATGCTTGTCTGTTTTTGTCAGCTAGGAAAAGTGAAACAAGAGTTTTACACTGACCGTGACCTGTCCGCAGGAGCCACCCTCAATGTGTGGGGAAGGAAAGTCCTCCTCTGTGACTGTGATGAATTTACCAAGAATTATTATAAGGCAAAATATAAAATTGGTAAGTGATATTTATGCCAATTAGAGAATATTTTTCAAACTTTGGCTGTTCATGCCCTAGTTAAGATTTTCCTTTTGAGTTTCAAATGTTAGACTCATAATTGCTGACATTTATTGTGCATTTGTTGTCTTCAAGGCATTTTTCCTCTTATGCATCCGTAACAACAGTCCTCTACAAGTAGGCTCATTATCCCCATTTTAGAGGTGAAGAAACAAAGGCCCTTAAAGCACATTTGTCCAAGGTCATGCAGCAAAGAAAGAGCCAAGAAATGAAGTTGTCTGCTCATGCCAGGGGCTTCCATTTTCCCCAATAATTCTCTGCTTCACTACAGTAGACAGTATTTTGGTAGGACAATTATACCGGAAATTTTAAATCCTTTCTCTCCATTTAACTCTTGCTTACCACACTAGACAACGCTCATTTGCCTTCTCTGAGGAAATCTCTTGTCCTGTTTGTTCTTCCTTTCCTAGTGAGGTTCAGCCAGGTTTCCCGCTTCTCTTTTCAGAGATACCAGTTCCACTGCAGTCAAGTAAGTTCAGTTCAATTCAATTCAGAATAAAAGCCAGTGATTTTTTAAGTACCTACTATACATAGGTCAGCACAGTAGGCTTAGGTGATGCAAAGTTATAGAAGAGGTTTACAGACTAGAAGACAGGAGCTGGTCCCCTGTAGCACATTGCAAAATATTATGAGAGTCTAGAAGCTGGCAAAGGATGGGTTATAAAATCTAAAATCCAAACCTTCATTTGGTAAACTTCCACTCTCAGTCTTCTGGAGTTCTGCCCTCCAGCTCTACACACATCCTAAGCCCTCCACTCAGGGTTCACCTATCTGCTACTGCTGCAATTGATAGGATCTGTTGACCTACCGGGGAGGGTTTGGAACTGGGGTGAGGGTGCCTAGTCTGGTTCTATCCCCTGCTCCATACCCAAATCTGAGGGTTGTCCAAGACTCTTACATGAAATGGTGTAATATTTGCAAAGAACCTATGAGTATCCTGTATACTCTTTTATTTATTTATTTATTTATTTATTTATTTATTTATTTATTTATTTAATTTGAGACAAGATCTCATCAAATTACTCAGACTAGTCCGTCCACTTCAGCTTCCCGAGTAACTGGGATTGCGTGTGGCTACTTTAAATCAACTTTATATTACTTATAATACCTAATGCAATGTAAATGCTGTGTAAATAGCTGTTATTGTTTATGGAACAACAACAGGAAAATAGTCTGTATATGTTCTATATAGATATCATGATCTTTTTTTTTTTTTGCAAACCCATGATGGATTGAATTCAAACATCTGAAGGGGTGACTTGTACTTCTTTGAACTGTGAAATATTCATTTGAACACACTCTCTGGGGTGTAAGATGGAAGACAGAAGAACCACAGCTTCTTTAAAAATAAGAATGAGATGAAACCCACCCACCTGTGTGTCTTACAATCTGTGTCATGTAGCATCTGGATTTCCTAGGAATCTTTGTTTCTTTGTTTTTTTGAGACAGGGTCTCACTATGTAGCCCTGGCTGTCCTGGAGCTCACTATGTAGATCAGGGTGACCTCAAACAGAGTTCTACCTGCCTTTACCTCCCAAGTGCCGGGATTAAAGATATGCACCACCATGCCCAACTTTCCTGGGAATCTTTTTATTCTGAGAGATGCTACACTAAAACACACAAAGACATTAGAATGAAAAGGGCTTTCGGTTTCACTTCCAGACTCATTAAGGAAATTTGTTCTATCACATCTGCATGCCAGATTAGTGAAAATGTCTGGGTCCTACAAAGGCCAACTTGGTGGCCTGTTCTTATTTGAATTTCTAAACTTAGTTCTCTTCAGTGAACTCAGCTGAACAGATTTACTTTGGTGACTGTAGACAAGAGTCATCCAGGGGTGTGTGGATGGCACCTGCCTTAGAGAACCTTCTAGGGGCTGGAAGAATTCCCCTCTAATAAGCATAAATATCTGATTAGAATCAGTAAGTCTTCAATGAAGACTGAAAATTTATCAATGACTCACTAAAACCCTAACTCATAACTGAAGATTACTTTCATCTAAATGATATCAATGAAAGATAGACAGATTATCTTAATGATTCCAAAACATAGAATGATTCCTTAAATAGAGAGTCCAACATTTGACTAATGTTTGTGAGCTTGATTTTGAGAATATTTGGTTAAGGAAAACAAATGTTGCACAAAAGGGACTGGGACAATTGTCCATATCATAGCAGTTTTCTACAGCAGTTTTTCTGAGGCAGCGCGAACTCCAAATCTAGCTGTCCTGGGTAAATGTACCAACTTTAAATGCCCTGTAATCTGTTCTGGTTGAGTCTGTCCCAGTGCTTAATTTCTTTCTGTCCACTTCTTTTGTTCCCTCTATAGACTTTATTATATTACATCTAAAGCATGCTTTGTATTTTTAAAGTTAACATAACATGAACATATGCATTTAAGAGAAAATATATGCAAATGTAAAATTATGATGCATTTCATAGTCACACTGACTTTTTAGTATGTCTCAAAACATGTTAAAATGTCATATTTAACAAGCACTATTACATACCATTTTTTGAGTTTTAATGGCATATTTAATGTTATAAATGACTATGATTACCGTGGTGGAATGGGGGCAGTGGATTGATAGTCTCTAATATTTACATTTGCATTTTTGATGTTTTTGTCAAGTTCAGTCTATATACATCGTATTACTTAAATGGATTTATTTCTGGCATTAAAAAATGTGAATCAGTGATCTTTATTTTTCTTTATTAGTGGCTATGACATGTTGGTAAAAATATAAGTAAGAAAAAGTTATACTGTAACATTTGACATAAACATTAAATAGCAATTTTAATGAAGACTCTTCAGTATTAATATGATAGTAAGGGGGATAATTTTGTTTATAATTCATGTGGTCTTAAACATTTATTTAAAACAGGAGGCTGGAGAGATTACTCAGTGGCTAAGAGCACATACTGTTCTTGCAGAGGACCAGAGTTTGATTCTCAGGATCCATGTTGGGTGGCCCACAACTGCCTGTAACTCCAGTGCCAGGGGCTCCTTTGGCTTCCAGGGGAACTACACTCACATGCACATACCCATACATGGACACATACACACATACAAATAATTATTTTTAAATCAGTTTTTTCTTTTTTTAATTTTATTTTTGTGATTTTTCATCCAGTATAATTTGATGGTATTTAGATCCCCTAACCTCACCTCCCCTATTTCTGAATCTTTTAAAAAATGTATAAGACAGAATTTTATACATTATATTTTGGTATCTTTAAAGTCCAAACCAGAATAAAGTGTCATTAGTAATTGTGGCCTTGTTAGTAACTGTGCTCACATTGACTCCTTTGTCAGTTAACGTGATCAGTAGAATACCTGGGCATCTCCACTATGTAGCAAGAAGGAGGTGACAAGTGCCAACATCACAGCAGGAAACTGGGGACAGATCTCTCTCTCTCTCTCTCTCTCTCTCTCTCTCTCTCTCTCTGTGTGTGTGTGTGTGTGTGTGTGTCTTCATGCGGGTAGATGTATGCATATGTATATGTGGAGGTAAGAGGTCAATGTTGGATGTCTTTCTTAATGGTTTTTCACTTTAATTTTTGAGACAGAGAATCTCACTGAACCTGGAGCTCATCAATTCTAGATTGACTGGCCAGTCATACCCAGCTTTTACGTGGGTGCTGGGAATTGAACTTAGGTCTTCACATTTGTGCAGCAAGCACTTTCTCAACTGAGCCATCTCCTTAGTCCCCAGGGAGCAGATTTCAAATGCATTTATTTAGCCTTAGTACTTTAGAACCTTATCCTATCTAGTGGCATCCCAACTTATTTTAGAGGAGAAAGAAATGGCACACAAAGACAAGGAATTGGCCGCAGTCCCCCAAAAGGTGCATGGGTAACTTTTCTATTCCTGCAGAAGCACAGGGCTTGATAGAATTCTGAGACAAGTGAGCCCCTGTATGAGAGTCAGTCTTGTGGAAAGATGATTCTTTCATGTGTTTAAGGATTTCAAGGAAAAGTCAATTCCTTAGATGTCTTGTGCAGTGTGACCCCTGAATTAAGCAGTGTGGCCATCCTGCTAGTGGTGAGTTAATTGCCAGACTGCAGTAGATCAGTCCTTCAGTATTGATGTGTTTCCCTTCATCCCCCCATCCTTCCTTTCCTTCCCCCCTCCTTTTTCTGCCTCATCACCCTCTCTCCGTCCTTGCTGTATGTAGCCATAGCTGGCCTGTTATTCACTATGTAAGATAGTTTGGTTTTAAACTCATGGCAATCCTCCTGTCTCAACCTCTCAAGTGCTGGGATATATAGGCATATAACACCATATTCAGCTTATAAGAAGACTTTCTGATCATTGATTCTTAGTGATAGGCAAAACTAAATCTGGCTAATCATGGTAGCTCATGCCTTTAATCCCAGTACTCGGGAGTCAGAGGCAGGTAGATAGATGGGTCTTTGTGAGTTTGAGGCCATCCTCGTGTACATATTGAGTTCCAGGCCTGTCAGGGCTATATAGTGAGATCCTGTCTCAAAAGCAAAATAAAACAGTCACATGATCATTCATTCCCATTGGTTTGAATGCTTATTTGGTTATATTGAGAATAAAGTTCAACAAAAGTCTTAAAGCACCTTTCATTTTCTACAGTCATTTCTGACCATCTCTGAACTCTCAGGGAGACTATCCTAGAGGGAAATTCAGTGATCATTTGAGGAAATTGGCCACCACTAATTGTAGCAATAGGGATAGCTTTAGTTTATGGTGTTACCACATGGCCTGGATGAACCTAACAATTTTGCCTCTTTCACTTCCCCTATAAAGTGAGGGTGGTTGAGGAGTAGAGGGATCCAAAAACTTATAGTTCTGACATTGTGTGACTCACAAATTATTTGACCTAGGTATTGGATACAAACAGAGATGGATTTAGTTTGAGATAATGATTTCTTAGTCTTCACGGTTCTTTCTTTAGAGGAATTCCAACCAAAAGACCCGGCCTAATTTTGTTTTAGTAATCTGGCATTCTTAGTCTTGAAAAGTTTTGTCCAAATGATATAAGCTTCAAGTTTCCTGAAGTCTGGATCTATCTCTGGGTTATTGGATCATAGAAGATGAACTTTGACATAATTGGTGACTTTTCCCAGTAATACTACCACCTGAGATAGTGAATTGAAAAGTCATTGTGAAGGACCATTAGACAACTTTTTATACATAATCTCCTTGCAATTTGTTGGAATCCGGTCAGTTATGGATAGCTATTCAATACGTATATGTGTAGAAGTCATTTGGAATTAGAGGAATCAAAGTATTTGGAATACAGGTATGTTTCAGTGTCTAGCAAAATGTCAGGTATAGAACACATTTGGGAAGATGCTTTTCATATTCCTTTGCATTTACTGAATCAATATTTTTGAACACAAGAAACATGCAGGATGCTGGGATGATGAATACCCAATGATAGTCAACTTGTCATTCATATATGAGTCCACAGCCTTGTGAACGTATGTCAGCTACCCAGAGATATGCAGTTCAAATTTAAAGTTGAATCTTGAGCTAGAATTTGCAAAAATATCTTGGTGGTGTTATAAAAGTCAGAGGTGATACAGTGGAGCAATTCTCAGCTTTTATACACTAGATGGCACTGTGGGCGCAGAGGAAAGCTCTAAATTGGCCTTTTGTTGCTTAATCTGTTGCAAAAATTAGGTTCTTGAGGAAACAACCCTGTGTTATAAGACTTGTAATGATGGCTGTAGAATATATTCTTAATCACTTTGTGATTCAGCATGTCTCTTCTTTGAGTTAAAATGCTTGGATGAGTTCATAGTGTTGTATGTGTATGTATATTCCCTATTGGAGGAAACTGCTCACCCCCTTCCAATTACATAGTACTCTCCTGCCGTCTAGATATTTGCCCTGAAACAAAGATACCAGATAGTAGTGCGTTTGATGTAACCATGAGCAAGGGTAGAGTCTACTGCAGTTCTAATTCCAAGATTTGAGCTTTCTTCTTATTACCAAGAATTCTCTTTAATCACAAAATGATCTTTAGGAGAGGCTCACAAGACTCTCTGCAAGGATGCACTGGTTGTTCCCTTTTACTGAGCCAGTGCAAAATATTCTATGGCAGTTCCTTTGTCAACATGTCTGCTCTGAGCATTTTCTGTTAGGATAGAACAATACTCTTTTGGGATTGTGCCTTGGGAAATCTCACACAAAGGCAGCTAAAGTATAAGAAAAGGTGAAAGCTGCAAGTATTTTTCAATCAGAATTAGGAATGGCTTTAAACCCTTAGCTTCCTGGTCATTTAAAAAGAATTCACTTCAGTTTTTAGAGTTAGGTTATCTTAGATGACAAATTGATGCATACTTTCTCTAATGGTAATGTGTACTAAATTCTATGTTCTTTCTTCTATTAGAAGTTTGACAATGGAAAACCAAACCTTTGCTTGTGTAGAACTTTTGTTCACAGCTGAAACACCTATCAAGCTTGAGGAAGACGTGGAAAATGGATGTACGCTTTAATTTTTTATTAGGAAAGATTCTGGAATTTTTTTTTTTTTTTTTTTTTGATTGGTTGGTTTGCTTTGTGCCCCTGTGTGGGGTCAGTTTTAGAGAAATTTGCATGTACTGCTGAATAGAAAGTGTATTCTTTGGTGCTTTGGTGCAATATTGTGGAGCTCTGGAGATTTTATAAATATGTCCCAACCTCTCTTTCTGCACAGATGAAAAGTAAAAAATAAAGTCAACATTATTTACCATATCATACTCCCTTTGAGAGAGTAGGCGCTCTGGGTATCTTTAATTGTTTAAATCTTTGCTACTTCTTATTGAATTTTTGTGGATTTCATACAATATATCTTAATCATATTTAGACCCCTCCCCTATCTACCCCCATAACCCCCACTAGGTTTCATGTATTCTGTTATATGTGTTAAGACCTATCGAGTCAAGTTTGTGTCCACAAATATCCCTTGTTTGGATTTTTGTTGCTTTGGTTTTTGCTTCACTACAAGAACAGTTTCAGTGACTTGTGAAAGAAAGGAAATTCTATTTTTTTCTGTTTTTAACTAGAGAGTAAATAAAATGCCTTAGAGTTGAATTGGAGGCAAGGAAGGGGGGCTTAAAAAGTGGGTCCAAGAGGAGGAGCTGGCTGATGGGTAAAGTTAAAAAGAAAATAAGTCAAAAGTCAGTCCTATTTGGAAAAGAATTTTATTAGTGAGTGTTGATTGAAGATAGGACAGGACTAAATTACAGGCTAAAATATGGGCTTGATGGCGTAAAGTTTCCAGTTTAAATTTTCATATCATTAGAAAAATCAGAGGAAGAGCAACAAATACTCAGAAATGAGGGTGTGATGCCAAAAGATAAATGTTTACTTATTTGACACAGATTCCTTCTTTTTTTCCTTTAGAACCAATGGCTATTAAGTGAGTTCTGTGGTTTTTGTAAACATGATTGAAACCTCCTCTCACAGTATTTTACCATGCTTTGTTTGAAGGTTTAAAATAGTCTGCAAAGATCTCCATGTTCATCTTGAAATCATAACAAACCTTTCAAACCAGCCACAATCAGGGCAAAAAAATATTGATGTTTTGTTTGCCTGTGTTTTGTTATAGATAACTTTACCGCCATCTCATGCAAGCCTCCTCCGCTTCCAAAAATAGAAAGGAAATTTCCACCTTACACTGGCTTTGGGTCTGAAGAGGATTCTCTCCGTTCCTGCATAGGCCTCAAGCCCACACCTCATCATAAGATCTTCAGGAAATTCATGGAATACGATGGGTGCTTGAGGGGACCATGGTTATAGTCCTATCTTTTCCAGACATATTTGGAGTTTATGACATGTCCTTGTTGATACAAGGGCTGTCACACAGCTCATCAGATTCTGAGCCCAGGAACAACTTGCAGTTTTTCATTGAGGTTGATTAACACACTGGTATTTCCAGCTTCTTGCTTGAGTGCTCATTTTACTGTGTTATTTGAAGGACCCTAAAGTCATATTATTCCCTCTGTCTGTTGTTTTGCCATATCTGTTTGTCTCTCTTTCTGTCCTTCTCGTCCTCGAAGATAGTCTCAGGAAATGATGCAGAGGCAGAGTCAACACATTTCAAGGGTCAGAGAGTACATACTTTCGGCTTTGTAGGCCATACGATCTCTGTCACAACCATTCAGATATGCCACTGTAGCATGAAAGCTGCATGGACAGCGTGTAAACACATGTGTGACTGTGTTCCAATGGAAAGAACTTTTTATGTATATTGACATTTGAATTCCATGCAATTTTTACTATCAAAAATATAATTCTTCTGATATTTTTTCAACCATTTAAAAATGTACAAACCAGTCTTAGCTCAAAGGCATATAGACACAGGTGGCCAGCTGGCTCTGTCTCACAGACTTTAGTCTGCTAACCCCTGCTGTACAGATTTCAGTGATTTATAGGTGTTTTGCAAAATGATATTTTGGAAATTAATGTTGTTTTGACTTGAGAGGTTTGGTTGAATTCAGTAGCAAGCAGATTGTTCATACAGAAGAATGTAATTTCAAAAGGTAGATTTTCAGAACTATACCTAAAATACATGAGGCAAAATCTGCTCCTGAATCATGCTTGTAGAATGTGGACATGGGTTATGGTTATGTTTTGTTTCTACAGGAAGAGCAGGCCTGGGAGAAAGATGTCAGGGAAAAATAGTGGGGAAACGTTGCAGATGCTTGAATAGGGTGTGAACTAAAAACTGCCGCCCTTTGTGAGGGAGATAGGAGGAACGCGATAAAGGGAACCTGTGTTAAGACTAAGGAGAGAAGAAGAAAAACCATCCTGAATTTTGTAAAATTGCATGGGGAGGGGGGTCACGGGCTGTTGTGAAAAATTCAAAGGCAGGAGAACAACAGCTGTCCTGTATCTATGAAAGTGATTGAACTCTGTTGTTGGAAAGGTTGCCTTTGCCATGACGTGATGTCCACTGTCTTTCAAGAAGTAATCTTTTATTTTGAACAATTTTGGAGTTTTATTGAAGTTTTAAACTTAGTAGTTCTTAAAGTGTGATCCCCATATTTGTTAGAATACTAGCTTTTGTGCTTCTCTCTACATGGTCCTAGAAAGAAATGCTGGGGTTATGGCCCAGTACTCTGCTCTCATACACACTCTGGAGCATACACACACTGAAGCACACCAGTATTTGAGAATCACTGATTTTGACACAATATCCCCTTTGCTCCCTTATTGATAGCAATATTATATGGATTCTAGGGTAGGACTTCAATGGACCCTTTTTCACTAAGTGCTGATTTTAAGGCCAGCCACCTGGAAGAGGTAGACAGGAAGAATGTCCCTATTGTAAAAGGAGAGGGAAATTTTCTTATAAGTAAACAAGATGAAATATTATCCAGGGTGTTGCTTCTGGAACCCAGGGGAAAACAGTTCTTTGTGGGTAGTCGCCTTAGTCTCTCTTTCTGTCTGCACTGTGTAAACTTGCCCTTCAGACCCTGACTACAGATATTATTGTTTTTATGTGTCATGCTGTTGTGGTTAAAGGATGGGCATATAGGCACAAATCTCTCTAATCTTATTTCTTTTTGTCTACTGCTCATTTTGTGCCAAGAATATACTTCCATCAAGCTCCTCCTACACAGTGACCTTGTTTCCATAGTAACCGTCAGACACATACATGGCTGAAGACTCATACATGAGTGTGAATAACCCTAGGTTTCAAAACTCTGAGAACCTAAGGAAAATGATCTCACAGAGCATTCAAAGGATAGTTTCACTATACAAATACGAAAACTGAATTGAGATAGGAAACTACACAGGGCATATTGATTTTATAGATTGCTACTAAAACAAATTTACTGTGTGCTATTGTTAAGAGGTTAATATATTATTGGTCTACTGTGAGTCATTGGAGGAAGTCATTCCAAATTAAAGCATATAAAGTTTTTGATGAGCATGAAGACCTTCTTTATTGTCTGGGTAAGCATCACTATAGTGGCCTGTTGGGCAGATTGTCTAGTCTGATTTGGGAGAGTCAGAATATCTTTTTGCCTATGTAGGGCTGAAGTAGTGACTTTGTTCTATATGTGCCCCAATACTCTGCTGAATGTACCTATAGTAGTAGCAGTAGTAGCAACAATAAGCAATTAGTAGTTTCCTGTGCATTAACTACTTTATAATATTTGATTTTATTTAATCCTTACAACAGCCTTGGAAGAAACTAGATCATATTCTTGCACTCATTCCTCAAACAAGGAAAATGAGATTCAGAGAAGCTCTGCAACTTGTCCAAACTCACAGCTAATTTTTAGTTGAACAAGGAATTGAATCCAGGGAAATTTCAGTTCTGGAATTCACCTTTCTTGCCATAGAATCTATACTTATCATATGGCTGGGGATTACTCATGTGTGTAATTTCTGGGCTTCCCCAGGCTAAGAGTTCTTGAAGTCAGAGACTGCCTTTGTTGTTTCCCTAAGAGTTAGAATGGTTCTGGCTATATACTTGAGGACTCACAAGTGTTTTGTCCAATAAGAAAAGGTGTGGATGAGTGAGTATGGTAGTAAAATAAATGCTCACTAATCCAGTTCTTAATGATGGATAGAAGTAGAGGGGACAGACAGCTTCCTAACAGGAAATTTACTATCACATATTTCTGCTATTTATGAGCATATACCACCTAAAATGTCATGGTTTAATGCTGTTTTATTTGTTTCAGATATTGTCCATCTGCTCTTTTCATCAACCATGTCTTCCCTCTTAGTATTTTCCAACTATTACTGAAAAACAGCCTTTACATGTTTTCCAACCTGAAGAGCATATAGCTCTAGAGTTTTTGTTTGTTTGTTTGTTTTATTGTTTGTTTGTTTTGGTCTTTAGAGGGTATGTAGCTTTGGGTGAGCAATTCTTTTGCTTGGTTAACAAATATTTCCTAAAGACCTGCTGTATGCCAAGCACTTACTTGGCTTGTGATGAATCAATGAACAAAGCAACCATAAAAGCCTACTTGCCTTCATATAACTTTATTCTCCTTGAGGGTGACATGCAATAAGGGAAAGATATATAAGTATTTTACATTGTATATAGACTATGATAAGTACCATGATAAAGAACATTTTAAGTTTAAAGGGAACTGGAAGGTGGGAGTTGATAAATATCCTCAGTTGTGGTTTGCAATTGTGTTATGTTACCTGTTGAGGAGAGGAGACATGTTCCAGACAGAAGAGACAGTCAAGGTAAAGGCTCTGAGCAGTGTACATTTATGGGGATATACAGAAACCATTAAGGAAGCTGTCATGACATGGATAGAAAAGATGAGGACAGGGCAGAGGATACCTCACACAGAAAAGTGGAAGAAGTACAACATGTGGTCATATAATGCTTGCAGGCTATCATAAGGACTCTTGACTCTTAGAAAGATAAGGAGATTTGAGCAGACAAGTAACTTGATCTGGCTGGCATATTGGAAGAATCTCTCCAAAGCAGTGTTGAGTGGACTGTAGAAAGACAGTGGTAGAATTGAGACAAGCTAAGAGACTGCTTCAGTAGTCCAACAAAGCTGGCTTGTATCTGGATGCGTGGAAGGAATGAAATTAAATAGCAGATTCTAAACATATTTTGAAAGTAGAGACTATAGGATTTTCTGACACATGAGATACGAGGTGTGATAGAACTGAAGAGCTAAGGATATCTCAAAATTTGGGCCCAAGCAATTGCAAGGGTAGAGATGGCAGCCATTGAGATAGAAGAACTATAGAAAGAGTAGGCTTGGGGACAAGCGTACAAGCTCAGTTTTAGAACAAGTTGAGATGCCTTTTTAATATCAAATGGAGATGTGTGTGTGTGTATATATATGTATGTGGGGGGGCTGAGGGTGTATGAGACAGAGGGGGAGGGAGGAAAGGAGAGAGGGAGAGAGGGAAGGAGACAGAGAGGGAGGGAGGTCGGAGTTCAAGAGGCAACTTGGAGCTAGAGGTACAAATTTGGAAGTCATAATCATGTATATAGTATTTCCATTCATGATGCAAAAGTGTACTAATGCTTTGAGACTGTGTTAGGTCACCAAGGATGAATATGTGTAGAGAAGTGTATGAATAAATCTGGGCTACCTCAAAGTACGAGACTGGAGGAAAGAGAAGGAACTACCAAAGGAGGGTAAAAATGGTGAAGACAAGGAGTTAGGAAGGAGAGAAACCTTAGAGAATGTGTAATGCTACAAGCCAAGTGTCACGGAAGAGTGTATGGTCAATTGTACTAGTTGCTGATTTGCTGATTAGTAAAATTAAATAGAGACAAAAAGTTAAGGATGGATTTGACATTGCGAAGATCCTTGTTAGTCTCCATAAGAGCAGTTTAAGTAAAGCAACCCAAATAGAAACTGATTTTAGAGAAGTGGGAAGGGTCTGGGGGTGTGACCAACTGGCATACTTGAGGCTATGGGTCTCATCTCCAGCATGGATAAGAAAGAGGGAGTGGAAGGGTGTGGGAAGATTCCAGGGCAGTGATTGTAGTTAACACTATGCTGTATGTAGAAAAAGTTAAGACATGGCTCCTAGAGCTAGGAATTTATAAGTTTTTTAGCACAATGAGGATAAACATCTTTTGAGATAACCAGTCAAGAGTAGAAGTCTGTATAATGCTAATTGGGTGTGACATTATGGTTGGTGCAGGAGTTATGAGGAGTTGATCACCTGGGAGGGCGGAGACTGTGATGAAAAGAGTCTTCAAAGACATTTGATAGTTAGGTTATATGAATGAAATATCTGAAGACACTTAGAGTATTTCTTTCAGTGTGCTGTGGGGACCATCTCATCAGATTCCCCTGGCAGCTTATTAATAATGCACATTTCCACAGAGCCAAGCTCACTCCTGAGTCCATATATCTGGCAGTGAAATTATGAATTCTGCATATGTAACACGTTTCCTGTGACTTTTATATACACTAAACTTTGTGAATTGCTAGGTTTTATTTTCAATTGATGAGATCCCCAGAATACTAGAATTAAGAGGAAAAAAATAACACATTGAAAAGTTCATAGTAAACATATGTGCTTATAAAGTTATGTAAGTTCTAAAATGCTAAATTTGAAATAGTATTCCTTTAGCCTTAGATTAGACCTCATTCAATGGTTTGTTGATATTTTAGACATCTGTAAAGTTAAAAAGGAGCTGTTGAATATTTATTACTTAAATAAATATAGGGGTTGGTTAAAAGCACTTGCTCCTCTTGCTAAAGACCCAGGTATGATTCCCATCACTCACATAGTGGCTCACAATCATCTGTCCCAGTTTCAGAGGATTTGATGTCCTCCTCTGGCCTCTTTGGAACCAGGCAAGCACATAGCACATGGTACACATACCTACACGCAAGCCAAACACTCATACATGTAAAAATAAACCTTTTTTTTTTTTTCGGTCTTTTTGAGACAGGGTCTCCCTGTAGCTCCAGCTGCCTGGAACTCACTCTGTAGACCAGGCTGGCCTCGAACTCACAGAGGATCCGCCTGCCTCTGCTGGGATTAAAAGCGTGTGTCACCACGCCCAACAAAGAAACGCACCCAATGTGGGGCATGAACTTTTTTTTTTTTAAGTTCGGTTATATACCAAAAGAGAGTGTTGACCCTGACCCTAGCACTATATAAGTTCCATCTGAAGTCTGGGAACTAAGCACTTAACAAAAAGCAGAACTGTGTGTGTACTTGCCCAGGCTGCTCCAGGATGAACCGTACAAACTGCTGTGCTCCATCTCACATGAGAACTCATGAGATCTCAAGCTGGGTATCTTGCCCCTGTGCTTTCTCAACACAGCTTCCTGGATAGTCAAATAATGCAGAAGAGAAAAGCATTATCTGTCTCTGCAAATCAGTAGTACTTTCTTGTGCTTTTTATCAATATGAATGGATTTCAGAATATGAGAATCTACAAGTGCTGACCACTCTGCTTACAGTTGTGACATATATAAGTGATGAAGGACATGTAGATTTTAGTGGTCACTTCCTAGGGTGAAGGATTTAAATTACCTCCTCAAGGACTTACTATTTGTTAGGAAGGTTGGATTTCACTAGCTGATACCTGCAGCTGTGCTTCTACTGAGAGACCATAAAAGTTGCTTTCTTCAAGGCCCATGCTATCAACTCTGGACATGAGTTATTTATTTTTACGATAGGGTCTCACTATGTAGCCCAAGCTGGCCTCAAACTCATGCACTAAGCTTCCTCAGTGCTGGGACTACAGATGTATGTTCATGCACACCTTGGAAAATTTAAATTCCATTTGCTCTCCTCTTCAACCTGCTATTATGCATAGTGTTCTAAGTACAGCTTCTAATCATTATGAGTATAACATTAATGCAATACCTTATAACATAAAAAGTGTTATATTAGATAATGGTTAATAAAATATAGTATTTCCTTCTTGGAAAATAGACTTGTAATGGCTACTTACAAATAATTTAAACAATTAGCACAGTCGAGGCATGTTTATAATATTTGTGGAATAATTAACATTTCCCTTGAAAGGAACTGAAAATGATCCAAGAGAGGTGGAGTAACAAGGAGGGGAAGATGTGAGCTGCATGGCAGAAAAGCCATGTGACATGAGACAGGTGTCCCAGACACTGGGTAGAGCGTGCCTTCTGGATTGTCTCGGGCATAGGATTACACTTGTGCGTCAACCTGGCATAATTACTGTAACTGTACACCATCCTCTTGATTAGAGAACAGTTGACTAATTCCTCTGCTTTGAGCATTATGTTTATAAAGCATTTTGTGTTTATCTGTGTGCATATTTGTTCATGTTCATGTGAGTACATGTGCTTGTAGGTGCATATGAAGGTGAGAGATTAACTGTGACAGTTCCTTAGGAACCATCTAGCTTGTTTCTCAAGACAGGATCTCTTATTGGCCCATGGTTCACTAATTAGGCTAGGCTGGCTGGCCACAGAACCCCAGGGATCTCCCTCCCCTGTTCTGGAATTACTAGCATGTGCCACCAGACCTACCTTTCTTACATGGTTCTGGGAACTGAACTCAGGTCCTTCTGCTTTCTCAGCAAACACTTTCCCAAGTGACCTATCTCCCCAATGTTTCTAAAATTTCTGTATGGTTCAATGTACTTCCCAGGACATATAAAGAGCAGGAGAAAGTTTAATATATTGAGAAAATCCTTTAGTATTTAGATTAGGACCTTAATAAGATGTTTGAACCATTAGAAAAGTATAAACTCCCATGTCAAAGCCATGGCATAGCTACTGCAGGTCTTTTTATTGGGATACATGTACAGAAGATTACTTGTCTAGTCCTCTAACTCTCATTTCTCTTCTATCTAGCCATAGCAATGTAAACAATATACTCCGGTATTTGGGAAAACTAATCACAGATAAATGTGCTGATGTGGACAGGTTGTTTGTTATTGCATTTTATCTCAGCAATGGCACAATTTCAGTGTTTGAACCTACGGAGAGGCATTCAGGTAAGAGGCATAACATTCTCATTTTCCTTGGAACACTTAACTGCCTTTCATTTTGAAAATTAGGAAATATTATCTGATTTTATAGCCTAGATGATTTATGGCAATTTTTTTAACCAATAAATTTCTTCTTACAAAAATGTCTTAAATGTGAACCCAAATATATAAAATGATAAACAAGGAATAGCGGTGGTTGGTTTAGGCCCAGGGAACCCAGGGCCAATCCCTTTTGCCACTGTCCTTTATTTTTCTGAGGCACTTCTATGGAATTCAAGGGCTTCAGAGTCATGGTTTGGCAGCCACTGGTCCCACTCACAGCCAGTAAGCCAAGAGAGCGTTCCACAGTGCTGCTTACAGAAGTTTTGTCTAAGGAAAGAGTATGAGGTAGACAACTTGAATCTTCAGGATCCGTCTTTCTCTGGTACTTCTGTTTGTTCAGGCTATTGCCAAGGGTCATGCCCCCAGGCCTCTGGAATGTTCTCCACAGTGTGTTGCTCCCATGGCCGTTGCTGAGGACAGCCATTGACTTACAAATTATGGAAATGCAGGGCTCTGTTCTTTGTTTCAACATGTTTACAACTTTTATCTGTGCTGAAGACATATGTTTAAGAAGAATAACCAGTGATGTGTTGTTCAACTGGTTCTTTGAAAACTGAAAATAAAAATCTTGGTTTTTACCATTTACCATTTACATGTTATGAATATCCCAATCATGGCTAGTCTTAAGAAGCCAACAAGTTTACAAACTGGCATGCAAAATCTCTGAGAATTTAACAGTCAGCTCATATACTGAAGCTGGTATCAGCCACTTAGCACATCAATGAGTAATGAATAATTTGCATAACTAAATCGAACTCCAATGTGATTTGAATAGTAGAAAAACCTTAAAATATGAAAGTGAATAAGAATGACCATAGGTCATCCACTGAATGGTTAAAGAAATCAGCTGTACAACTGGAAAGGGAAAGATGTGGCCAGGCAAATTGCAGCATTTGTAAAAAAGAAGGGGAATAGTAATCCACTACAAGTTTATAAAGTAGTGGTCATTACTGACTACTTATTGTCGTCCTTGCAATAACCTTAGAAGGTTAAGTTTCAAATGCTGAGATGGGATTAAATGTGCAAGAGATTTCTTAGAAAAAATGTGAAAGCAGTCAGGGGAAACCCAGAGAACTGTCAGGCTCTCTCTCTCTCTCTCTCTCTCTCTCTCTCTCTCTCTCTCTCCACCCCCCTCTCTTTCCCTCCCTCCCTCTCCTCCCTCTCTCCCTCCCCTGTGTATTTGTGTGTATGTGTAGATACAGACACAGATACATATAGAGATTCAGACAGATATATAAACACACACACACACACACACACACACATGCACGCACACACGCGCCAGTGTCCATGTGCTTATCTCCCTCTCTCCCTCCCTCTAGAGCCTCACTGTATAACTCAGGCTGGCCTAAAATTCTTGATCCCCTACTCCAGCCTCCTTGGTGCTAGAATTATAGATGTTCACCACCATACCTGGCTGCAGTGTGTTCTAATTCCCATGAAGGACTGAGGGAAGGAAGAAAGGCAGAAGTCTTAGACGGTACTGGAATTCTAAGGAATTTCTACAAGACAGGGCCAAGTTGCTCATTGGAAAACCCCTTGCTTATATAGGAATGGGCCAATCTCAATGTCTCTGCCTTGAACACTCATTTGTTGGTAGCAGACTATAGGAAATATCATCTAGACACATATTTGATAGATTTCAGAACGTAGTTGCTGGGGCCTTCCTGTAGTTACGTTATTCACAGTAGGCAGCCTAAGAAGTCTATTTTCATGACTCCTCCACTCCCATGCAATTCCATTTTCACCAATGCAAACTCAGATGTTCTGAGAGGTTAAGAACTCTTCAAGAGCAGGCAGAAGGCAAGTGACATAGCCAAAATGGAATGCAGCTGGGTTTGGCTCCAAAGCTTGTGTCTTTCCACCACTTCTCACGTCTGGTCTCATCTGGTTCTGGTTGTAGTCATAGATCTATAGATTTCAGTTCCAAATCAGAAGACACTGGGCTCTCCTGTTTAGCTCTCCTTCAGAGAACAGACAAAGTGAGAATACTCTGGAAAGTAAGCAGGATGAGGCATTCCTAAAAGAAGCAAAGATATTTGACTACATGGGAGGGTGGAAAAGGTCAAAGGGATCCCCATAGTTATCTTGTCACACTTATCTAATCACCTTCATAGAAGTGGGGTATCTTGCCCTGAGTCTGAATGCCATGTTAAGTGTGAGACACATCTGTAGAAATAAGTGACAGATTTCTAGCTGGTACTATTCCAGTGTACCCTAAAGATGAGGAAACTGCTAATGGCCCACATCCTCATTTTGATGCAGGGCATATACAAAGGTCCTTGCTAAGTGTTCCTTGAATTAGGAAGGGAGAAAGAGAGGGTGAAAAAGGCTGGAATACCATATTAATGTTTTCTTTAAAATATCCACCCAGCATGCCTTTCTCTTTTCAAAGTATACAAAGCAATGGGTTTCATTTCCATACATGCATATAATGTATTTTGAAAATAATATTCATTTCCTGTTATTTATCCTCTCTTATAACCCTCCCCCATGCCATTCCACATTTTAAATAATCGCCTTTTAATTTCATGTCCTCTCCTCCTAAATTCCACATATGAGAAGAAAGCATACAATATTTTTCTTTCTGAATACGGTTTATTTGTCTTCATATGATGATCTCCACTTCCTGAAAACAACAAAATTTCATTCTTTGGGGCCAAATCAAACTCTAGTGTGTGTCTTTACCACATACATTCATTGGTGGACACCTTCAGCTGATTTCATAACTTGGCCATTATGATAAACATGGGTATACAGGTATCTTTGTAGTAATCTGACTTTGAGGTATATACCTGAATCATGTACAAGTTCAATCTTTAATTTTTTGAGGAACCTCCAAACTGATATCCGCAGTAGTTCCACTAATTTATATTCTCACCAACAATGTTTAAGAGCTACCCAGGAAATGTTATTTCTTTGCTTGTCACCCCATGATTCCCTTCCACCTGAGAACAATCCATGGCATAGGTTTACAGATAATTTGTATAGCCTACGTAGGAAGAAAAAATAAGTAAAGGCAAGTCATGATTTTTTTTAAGCATAAAGGCTACTCATGAACTTTTTTCTATTTCTATAGGGAATGCTGTTGGGATGTTCTTGAAAAGAAGTCGTGTTAAGAAGCCTGGACAGGAAGTCTTTAAAAGTGAACTATCAGAATACATCAAGGCGGAGGAGCTCTATATTGGAACCACAGTGAATATCAATGGCTACCTGTTTCTTGTGCTTAATGCTGATGAGTATACCTTAAAGTATATGGAGAGTAATACAGATAAGGTGAATTTACTTTGTAGAATTCCTGACTTTCCCCTCCTCCCTCTGCAGTATGTGTTTTTCTTTCTCTAAGGCCTTTTCTTCTGCATCTTGCCACTGGTTTACATTGCGCATTCACACATGTGGGCATGAATAATGGATCCTACGACTTGGCCACAGGTCCCATCACAGAGGCCAGGTCCTTGTCTCCTCTGTTTACACGCTTGGCTCTCCTTGCCCAGCAGCACAGATTCCAGCCCCAGGCAGGAGGCAGGCCCAGGGTTGAATCAAGTTTCCTGGGTTTTCTGCTGACGCAAACAATGTTTTCAGAAAGAAATGCAACAACTATAGGGAAAGAAGAAAATCTGGTGCCACACACTGTGCCATCTCAGTTAATTGGCACAGAAAAGCAGAGGAGGCCATGGCTGGAACAAACAGAAACCCCAAGGGAACTCAGTGCTTGCTGGGGTTGCAAGTTCCTTTTACAGTGGCCACCTGAGGCTTAAATTAGAAACTAAGGAGAAATTTGCCACAGTGAGTTCAAAGAAGTGTCTTTGTTGTTGTTTTATTTTTAATTAATTTTTACTTTTATTTTGTTGAGACAGGTCTACTGATATAGCCCAGGCTAGCTTGGAACTCACTATCCTCCTACCAGTTTCCTGACTGCTGAGATTACAAGTATGTACCCACCACACCCAGCCAAAGTGTTTATTTAATTTGAAAGGAGATGACAAATGGATATTGTTATAAAATTGCTATTCTGACAATATTGTTCAGTAAAAATAGCATGAATAAAAATCTTTAAATGTGGACCTGTGCTGGGCAGGTCTTTAATTCCAGAACTTGGAAGGCAGAGGCAGATGGATCTCTGCAAAATCAAGACCAACCTGGTCTGCATAGCAGTTTCTAGGACTGCTGGAGTTACAGGGAGACTCTATCTCAAAAAAAAAAAGTGGACTTGTTCAGTATATAAATTATGTATTCTTGAAAATTATTTCTTGCAATATTAAAAAAATCTGTCAGGAAAAATTTTATTTTAAAAGTTTATTAAGGCTGGGCATGGTGGCACAAGCCTTTATTCCCAGCACTTGAGAGGCAGAAGCAGGTAGATCTCTGTGAGATCGAGGACAGCTTGGTCTATATAGAAAGTTCCAGGCCAGGTGGGGATGCAGGGAGACCCTGTCTCAATAAAATAAATCAATACATAAATGTTTAAAAGATAATATTTATCTATCCTTTTTTTTTTTTTTTTTTGGTCTTTTTGAGACAGGGTCTCCCTGTAGCCCCAGCTGTCCTGGAACTCACTATGTAGACCAGGCTGGCCTTGAACTCACAGAGATCTGCCTGCCTCTGACTCCCAGTGCTGGGATTAAAGGCGTGCACCACCACACCCCTTAGCTATCCTTTTTATACATATAGATCATACTTTGTCTCATTTATATAGAAAACGTTCAGGATTAAGTTGCTAGATGTCATGAGAAAGTTAGGGAGACAATGGGTGTATTAAAGGAAAGTCCTCTGAGGGCTGCAAAGAAAAGGAGCCAGAGGCAGGGAATAGTTGATGCCTTCAGGGTGCAGTTCACAACAAGTCTGGCCCCTGTGAAATGAGAGGGGAAGGAAGGAGGGGTGAGGAGGAAGAACTTTAGCTATGTACTGTAGTTCTGAGAAGGTCCCTGACAGGTAGATGGGGAACCCAGAACAGACTACTCACCAGAGAGGTCTGGAGTCAAGCAGGAGTGGCCCAGCTCTAGTATCCTGCTATGTTCTGTTATTAAGTGGGACAGCCTGAGGAGAGTACAGCCTCAGTAGGACTCTATGAATTCTTTGTGGATCTGAGAAGTGTGACAGTTAGAGGTTGGTGAACCACAGTGCTCTTCTCAGCATCATTCTGGGCAGGAGGCCTGTATAGCATCTCCATTTGCAGTATTAATAATTCAGCTTGTCATTAAACTAGAACATGTTTTAAACAACACTCTGAACTCAGGTGAGACACACAATGATCAAGCAGTCCAATTTCTGGAGACTACGGGGCCTGAGTGGCAACTAGACTCCGTATTCATTAGCTGAGAGAGTTTAGTGAAGTATCATCTCTGAGCTTTAGTTTGCTTTCCTTTGAAACAAGAGCAACAATAGCACTTGTTAGATAAAGTTCCTATAAAGGTTAGATGTGATGATATGTCTGAAGTTCTTAGATATAAGAGGCCCATGGCAAGGTCAGTCATGGCAGCTGTTATAAACTGAGGATTTAGTTCCAAACAGAGGGTAAGCCTCTATTTTAATATAAAATATATGGGTAGTTCTCAAATTAGAATTGTTTAACATGGAGAGTTTTTACTTCATCATGGTATAAACGTGATAAGCATTCAATAGAAACTATTTAAAATTCTGAGTTTTGATTTCCCCCCTGGTCTAGTAATGTGTAATCCAATCCTCTTATATGATATCAGGCATCACCATTGAGCCACTGTTCTCAGTCAGCCCTGAAATCATGAAGAGCAGCAACCCATACTCCATAATCAACTGTACTGCTAAGCTTGACATGTTCAGTATGTTAGCCAGTCAGTGCATTTTCAACTTAAGGTATTTTCAACTTATAATGAGTTTATCAGCACATAACGTCACTGTAAATTGAGGGTTATCTGTGTATGTTAACACCATATAGGTGTTTTTTGTTTTGTTTTCAGTGCCAGAGATTGAACCCAGGGCCTTGCACATGCTAGACAAGCACTTTACCATTCACTTATACCCTCAGCAAAGACATAAATAGTTCTAAGGTATAAAGGGATTTTCTTCTTTCAGAATGATGAAAGTGGGATAAGATATTATCTGGTATCAGCATCTCAAGTGAAAATTGCATTATTTTAAAACTACTCTTAATAAGGACATTGTAAGAAGAGAAAGATTAATATACTCTTTAATACCAGTCTGAGTAGCCTTTTCAAAAGAGCTAATAGATCTTATCATGGAAATAGATGAAAGGAAATGCAAATAGGAGAGGGAGACGGGGGGGGGGGGGGGGGGGGGGGGGGGGGGGGGGGGGGGGGGGGGGGGGGGGGGGGCTCAATTAGGTACCAAACCACCTGGACCATTCTGTGGTGGAAGAGAAGGAGCTTTATAGTAAAGTAACGTTAGTGTTTTTATTCTAAAATTTCATCTTCTCACTTCTAATCTCTCAGCTGGAATTATCTACAACTGTATGCTTTACTGGGTTGAATAAGAAGTATTCTTACTGAGTCAAGAAGGTAGTCACAAAGTAGGAGACAAAAACAGTGAGCTGTTCAGACAGTGGATGGATGGGGATTATAGTGTCTATGTGGCACTTTGACAGTGCACTGCCTGGTGGACAGCAATTCCAAGAAGAACCATACTAAAGATCTAGAGAAAATGAGGGTGTATTTATCCAACTTTAAATCTACATCTTTCTATCAGGGTCTGCTAAAATCCCGGGACAATATCTGAAGGTTGTTAGGAAACGCTGAGCTTGTTTGCTGAACTCTGTCACTGGCTACCCCTTAAGTTAATTTCTCTGAGATCTAGTGCCTGTGCTAATGTTAATCCTTTCCTAACACTTTCACTGTAAGGATAACAAAGCTAGTCATATCTTCCCCACATTGGCCTCTATGCAAAGCCGTGTCCTGCAAACTTTGGGTTCACTTTGTAAAGTCTCTTTGTTCTCCATCAGAAATACTGGCCTCCTGAAGTCTCCTGTATACTTAAATATGTCTTATCTTTTTACCTTCTAGTTTCCATACAGCAATTTTGACCTGGCCATACAAAAGCTGAAACAAGAACAATCAAGATCAACAGAGATCAAGCAGATGTTCTCAGCTGCTGACTGCTATCACACGAAGGTGATGCCTTATAATACATTCAGGTAAGCCATATTCTGCTGCCAATAATGTTTTCTCCTCAAGATCTTCCCAGGAATGTGGAGAGCCATTTCATTCCTAGCTCTTCCTCGTCAATTGACTATATGCTCTTTATTTGGAATTGGCATTTCTTTACCCTTGTGTTACTTTGTGCTCAAGCTTTGGCTTAATATCCTAATAAGCTTTATGAATTTACATATGAGACGCTTATAAATGGGAACAGGGAGGCAGATGCACAGAAAGTCAGTTGCTCACATTATCTTATGAATCATGGTATTGAAGGACCAGAGGAATGGCAAGAATGGTATATCTGAGTAAGAAATGCAGAAAAATGCAGTAAAGAGATAAAGAAGGAGCATCTCCTTGGGAATATGACTTAAAGTGTAAGCAATATTAAACCTTATTGATTACCAGAGAAAGGGCCCTCTGTAAACATCATTGGGTCTGTATGTTCCCGTGAATGTGTATTCTGAAAGACAAAAGACAGGACTCAAAGACTTTCCCACAATTTTCTCTGTCATATTCTTATATACGACAGTATATTCAGAAGTATCATATGAAATCATGAACAATATTTTCTCTAAGGTAAAGCTGAATTCTGGGACTGTCTAGGAGCTGACCTAGGCAAGTTCCTAAACAGCAGAAACACAGGGAAATTAAAATTCAGGGTCTAATACAATTGTGAAACCTCTTAGCTTGAAAACAATGTGAATGGAGTGTTCAGAAGAATGTAAATCAAATCATGGATGGATGGAGGACAAAGGGGACTTTCTATTTAGGCTGAGAATTCTGGCTTCTGAAAGTTATATGGTAAACCAGGCTTAATGCAGTCAAGATGTGGGCTGCGAACTGAGGAATGGAGCCCAGGCAAGGGGAGGTGGGGTCGGGGGCTCTTCCCAATTTTGTGCGTTGCCTGATACCCTGGAGCCCACCATGAGACCCAGTATATCCCAGGAGTTCATTTGTAGTTTTAATAAAGCTCCTTTGTATCTTCAAAGTTTTCTTTTGAGAGGAGCAGTCAAAGGACATATTTTTATTATTTAGAATCCCTAACCTTCTGGGATCAATAAGAATCTATAGCTCTTTGTTACTGTGCATCATCATATACACATGTTCATGGTAATGGTGTTTTGGAATATAAATGGAGTCAGAGCAAACAGCAAAGTAAACTCAGACTGTGAACTAATGGAAAGTACTAGAAGAGAAAACAAGAAATTTCCATCAGAAATAAGGGAGTGGCTTTGTTTTATTATTTTGTGTTCTTTTACAAAAGCATCCGTTCTTCCATACTCATTCAAAGTCTACTGGAAATACATTTTGTGCTCTTTTACAAAGCATCCGTCTTCCCATACTTGTTCAAAGTCTACTGGAAATCCTTTAGTGAGTTCATGAGGCCTTTAGGGAAGCACTTGGGCCAGGCAAGACCTGCAAGGAGGAGAAATTGGTCTATAAATGGAGGCCTCACCCCTAACTGTGGGTGTGATAGTCACCACACTGTGATTGGATAGATGACCACCAGGCACTGCAGGCTTAAAGGGGGAAAAGAGCTCCTCATCCCAGAAATTCCTTAGCTTGAAAACCAGTCATGTTAAGGCTGGCCCGAAAAATAATCCTTCAGCCATTCTCTTCACAGTCATATTCAAACATTTGACTGCAGCCAGCAGGGCCTAGAGTGATGGGATGGTTTGTATTTCTAGTATCACTTCTTTTCCTCTAGCCCTGTCCTTTGGCCTCTCTCATTGCCATTCAGTTTTTCAAGCACATCAAGCTCTTCCCTGCTTCCAAACCTATATACACACAGTCTCTCTGCTTGGAAGGCCTTTACCACTATCTTTTCCAGGGAAAATTCTAGGACTCTTTATTACCAGAGTATTTATCTCTGTCTGACTATCCTAAGTAAATACCCACTGTTCTTCTTAGGCCCTCGTTTATAATTTTTTCACAGCATATAACCCAAATTTGTAATTGTTTTACTTAGTGACTTGTTTACTTGGGGGAGTGATGATGTGTGTGCTTGACTGAGTTTTCTTCTAATAGAAAATATAAACTTTCTGAGGGTGAGGATCTTGGTAATGTGGTTCACCACATCACTGACATTTAGTGCTGGCTAAAGATAGACAGACACTGAATGAAATGATGAAACACTATGGTTATTCTTGGAGGATCTTATTTGGAGGTGGTTGCGTGATCCTTGTATTAGTCCATTTCCATTGTTATAACCTGAAGCTGGATAATATGTAAAGAAAAGAGATTTATTTAGCTCCCAGTTTTGGAGGTTGAAGGTCATAGCCCCAGCATCAGCTCTACTCTGGTGAAGACCTTATGGCAGATGACATTGTGTGGGAATGCATGCAAAAAAGTGGAGAAGCTGGTCTCTTTTTTTAAAAACACACACACACACACACACACACACACACACAAAAAAAAAAAAAAAAAAAAAAAAAAAAAAAAAAAAAAACAAGATCCCTTTGCTTCCTGGGCCCTGCAGCCTCCAGTGTCTTGGTCCCAGCACCCTCCCTGAGGGTGCCTCTTTCACCCTCCCAGCTCCACTGCCGAGTCTCTCCTCCTAGGCTGGGTACAGGCCCATTTCTTGTCTTGGCACCCCAGACACCAGGGCTAAACTCTAGGCCCAGAGCCGCCACTGCTTCTTGATCCTTTGCATTGGACCAACCCAGTTCCTCCCTGCGGCCCCAGGAACCCTCTAAGCCTGGTCCCGCCCTCACCTCCCTTTACTTCTCTGGGCTGCACAGCCACCAGCTTCCTGAGACCAGATCTATCCTGGGCTCTTCTCCCAGGCCAGCCCAGCCCCCAAATTCCTGAGGGCAGTATCTTTCCTGAAGGGATCCAAACGTTAAGAGAAAGCCTGAGAGCACCTGAGCCTCATCTCACTTGGGCCTCTGTGGGAACTCCTGAAGACAAAAGCAATTTGACCACTCCAATATAAAATCAAAAGAGAGAACCTGAAAAATAGACCAACCAGCTTTTCATGCCCAACAAGTAAACCACAAAGGCACATAAAGTTTACAAAAAGAAGCAGTTCTAAACTCAACAAAGGAAGGCTTGAGTCTCTCACAAGATTCGGAAACTACAAAGAAAATTCACATGTCAAAGTCACAAAAGAAAAAAATAACATGAAAAAACAAAATAATATATCCCCACCAAGCACCAATAGTCCTCTAGAGGAGTACAATGAGAACTCCCTAGATATAACACAGGACATGGAACTCAAAAGAACAATTATAAACATGATAATTCAGTGAATTTAAAGAACACACAAACAAAGAAATCAAAGAACTGAAGGAAGATAGGGATAAACTTCTGAATGAATTCAGAAAAGAGTTAGAAATATTGAAGAATACATGGGTTGAAATGAGGAAGGAAGTGAAACACTCAGTAAGGCAATTAGAAACGACAGGAGAAAGCCTCACCAATACGATGAATGAAATGGAAAACAGAATATCAATACTGGAAGATAAAGTGGATGAACTAGACCATTCAAGCAAAGATTATGAAAAATTTAAGAAAGCACAAGAATAGAATATGCAGGAATTGTGTGACACCATAAAAAGTTCAAACTTATGAAACATAGGCATAAAGGAAAGAGAAGAATCCCAAGATAATGACATGGACCAGATCTTCGACAGAATGGTAGAAGAAAATTTCCCAAAAGTAAAGAAAGACATGTCCATACAAATACAAGAAGCACATAGAACACCAAATAGACAGGGCCAGAAAAGAAATTCTCCATGGAAAAATCATAGTAAAAACACTAACCGTTCAGAAAAAAGAGACAATACTGAAAGCTGCAAAAGAAAAACAACAAATCACATATAAAGGAAAACCCATAGGATTACAGCTGACTTTTCAGTGCAAACTGTGAAAGCCAGAAGAGCATGGACCAAAGTATTCCTCATTCTAAATGACCACAGATGCCAACCCAGATTACCCAGCCAAAATGTCTATCATAGTTGAAGGGGAAAGAAAAATCTTCCATGACATAAATAGGCTGAAAGAATTCATGTCCACAAAACCAGCCCTTCAGAGAGTTCTTGAAGCCATACAAAGAGCTGAAGAAAGGAATGACTATATACAAGGGGTGACAGAAAGAAATTCAATGAAGGTATAACTGTGGAAATGCACAGCTATATCGAGAATGTGAACAGAAATAAAAATGACAGGATTCAATACTCATCTTTCATTAATAACTTTAAATATCAATGGACTGAACTCCCCAGTCAAAAGATACAGACTAGTTGAATGGAGTAAGAAACAAAACCCATCTTTTTGTTGTCTGCAAGAAACTCATCTCACTTTCAAGGACAGGCACTACCTTAAGGTGAAAGGATGGGAAAAATATACCAAGAAAATGGTACTAAGAAAAAAGCAGACATTGCAATTCTAGTATATGATAGAAATAGACTTTAAAACTAATCAGAAGAGACAAAGAAGGCCACTTCATTCTGATCAAAGGAACAATAAACCAAGAAAACATTACAATCATGAACATATATTCACCAAACTCTGGGGCACCCAACTTCATAAAAACAGTACTACAGGACTTTAAGACCCAGATTAATCCCAACTCATTAATAGTAGGGGACTTCAGTACCAGATTGTCACCATTATATAGGTCAACAGGACACAGAATTAACAGAGAGACTTCTGAATTAAACAATATCTTTTATCAAATGGACCTAACAGATATCTACCAAATATTCCACCCAAGCACCAAAGAATATACTTTATATTCAGTGCCCAATGGGACCTTCTCCAAAATTGACCATGTGCTGGGGCATAAAACAAACTTCAACAAATACAAAAAGATTGAAATTATTCCATGCATTCTATCAGATCACAATGCAAAAAAGCTTACAATCAACACTGGAAGAAGCCCTAATCACCACATGAACACAAGGAGATTAAACAACACACTCCTGAGTGATGAATGGGTCAAAAGAGAAATCAAGAAAGAAATAAAACTATTCCTGGAATTAAATGAAAAGGA